GATATGAAAAACTGGCGCAACTTCTAATTTAATAAAATAAAAAGAACTTTACATTGAAATCATTTTTTTTTGTACTTCATTTTTATTTAAAAAGTCGTTTCATTATTTCTATAAAAAACATGATATAAAAAATTGACACAAACTTTTAATTATATAAAGTAAAAAAGAAACTTTGCAAAGATAAAAAAAGATGTTATCAATCCAAAATTAATGTCAATTTGTAGTTGCCAAAAAAATTTTATTGAATTATTGTACTTGTGTTTATATAAAAATACGATATAAAAGAAAATTTGATGTGTAAGAAAAAAAAACGACGTATAAAAACTTGGCGCGCCTGGGTCGCATTAAAACTACTTTTAATAATAACACTGAATTATGTGGCAGACAAAAAGAAAACAGTTTGAATTAAAATTTAATATATTTTAAGATTTTTTATTTTTAAACTTATTTCTTTTTTAATACTAACTAAATAAAATTAGTGAAATATATAATCAGTATCATAAATATATATCAGTATGTTTGTAACATATATAAAACGGTCTCGCTTTCCCGCGCGGAGAGCGGTCAATCGGTTGCCAGGAGGGGAAGCGAAGACGTTGGAGATAGAAAATTGTTATTAAATTGTTAGGCGATAATTATAACAAATAACGATGTTTTATTTAACTAATAGTGGTGCGATGGAATGCACCAAATCTTCGCGTTAATGTTCGTGGCCGTGGACGGGCGAGACGGCGATCGGTGCGCGGACAGCGCGTGGATATAAAATAAGATATCGTTCGGGCGGTCGGCGCGATACTGATCGCGGCGCGCAGTTCGGTGGCGCGGGGCGCGCGCGGCGGCGGCGGTGTCGCACGTGTTCGTCGCGGGCCTTTAAATCGGCGTGGATTTAAACGTGCACGCGTGTGGCGGGTGTGGATATTTCGCGAGGTCGTCGGATCGTTTAGATCGGAGAACGGGTGTGCCCGTTCCCTGCCGAGAGGGCTCGGGGATGCGCCCCTCGTCTGTCTGCGTGAATGCCGAGTGAACTCGGCCAGCCGGGGTGTACCCTGGTGCTCGGAGAGGTGGTATCGGGGAGAACCTCGATACTCGGCGATGAAATCTCGGGAACGGCGGAGTTGGGTCGAGCGAACTCGACGCGCTGGGGAGACCCCAGCAACTCGCAGCTTGCCGTGCGAGATACGGAGACGGCCAGGCCAAGCGAACTTGGCGCGTTGGGGAGAGCCTCAATAAATCTCAGGCTTGCTACCGGTTTCGGATGCTCGCTTCCTTGAGACGGGCTCTCGGAAAACGAGCTAGGAACAGGAGTAAACGAGGAGTGATTTCCTGTGGAGAGCGATGCCTTTTTATACCCGAGATCGACCTCGGTATTTTCGGTCGGATCGATCGGATTGGTCGATCTCGGGGTTAGCATCCCTCTCCCCAGGAGCGGAAAAAAGGATCGGGTATAATTGGTTTTTTGGGGATAGGAGCGGGGGATGATTGGTTTTTTGGTAGGGAAGGAATTCGGTGGGAAGGTAACGGCGCGGTGCGGGGTGGTTACGCGCTTGTGGACGCGGTCGTGGCGCAGTGCGGGACGCTCGCTCGGTTGCGTGGCGCGGCGCGGGACGCGTTCACGCTCGGTGGTACGGTGCGTGGCGCGTTAGCGCTTGTTGGCGCGACGCTTGGTGCGGTGCGGGGAAATACCACGAAAACATACATGTTTTCGTGGTATTCTCCGACGCTTCGGAGTTCGCGTATGGTTAGATTAAAAAGGAGGCATTACTGCCTCTTTGCGGCCACTGCCGCACTCCGCCTGGTGTTCGGCGGTCCCCGATGGATGGTCGGTCGGGGGAAATTCGGAGGAGGAATGGAGCGGAGGGATGCGCTCCGTTACAACTTATTTCTTTTTTAATATTAACTAAATAAAATTAGTGAAATATATAATTAATTATTAATTAATGAAACATTTTTTACATAAATAATGCAAGAAACTTAAGAATTTATTTTATTAGAATGTTATCCAATATAAACATGCATGTTTTAATATTTATTAATAAATTTTTTTAATATTATATATTTATATATAATGTTAAAGAAAAATATATAAACAAAAATTATATAAAAAATTTATTTACAAATAATTTGAAAAGTAATATATATATATTATTAATGTAAAAAGATAAACAATAAGAATGCAATATAATACAATAAGTGTGTATGTACGTGTTTTTAATGCAACCCGGGCGCGCCAAGTTTTTGTACGTCGTTTTTTTTTCTTACACAGATTTTCTTTTATATTGTATTTTTTATATAAACACAAGTACAATAATTCAATAAAAATTTTTTTGGCAACTACAAATTGACATTAATTTTGGATTGATAACATCTTTTTTACCTTTGCAAAGTTTCTTTTTTACTTTATATAATTAAAAGTTTGTGCCAATTTTTTATATCATGTTTTTTATAGAAATAATGAAACGACTTTTCAAATAAAAATGAATTACAAAAAAAAATGTATTTCAATATAAAGTTCTTTTTATTTTATTAAATTAGAAGTTGGCGCCAGTTCTTCATATCACATCTTTTGTACTAATATGAAATTTATTATTAAAAAGACTTTTGTAGATGGAAATGTTTGTATAAAATTTTTTCTTTTACAATAAATAAGAAAAAGGGCGTGAACTTGATGTTATTTTTACCTTTTTTAAAAGATAATTTTATTAGGATAACATGAACAAAGATATCGCTATCGTCAACGCGGAGTTCTTAGCTGAGTATCTAAAAGTTTTAAACATTTAAAAAATTTTTTTATTTTCAAAAATATTAAAAAAATATTATTTGTTCAGAAAGAGATTGGGATATTGTGAATGTAAGCACGCAAGTACGCATGCACACATACACACATACAATTTATTTATCTAGATAATTTTATTTTATTGTATCAAAGCATACCAAAATGTAATGCGCTGCATTATAAAAAATTACAAATCTCTATATGATTAAATACGAAACATTAAGTACATTAATTAAATATACATGTATTGCACGTTTGTATTATCGTTCTTAATTTTTGTATATTTTTGTATGCGAGTACAAATGCAAGTACGAATACGTGTGCATGAGCCTGTGTATAGAGTTTAAAATGAAGTCTATAATAATACAATTTCAGATAAAGGGACGCAAAACTGGAAAAATAGTGATACAAAACCAATTGTCATAAAACTTGACAAGGACATAAACACAGACTTAAATTGAATGGCTAAATGAGTGGATCCTGATCAAAAACCAAAAGATGGATCCGATGGGTTTGTCAACTACATGAGTGGAGAAAGTGTGCATACAGTTTGACAAAATAAACGATTAATGATTGGCAGAATTTTATCTATTTTTTTGTTATCAATGTCCATTTCTTCATAATCTTCATAAGCTTATAAAGCGAGAAAGATGTGAAGATGTTTAATGAAACTAAAAACTTTGAAATGATCAATCTGCTCTGAAAAGAACTTTCTGATGCAAGACCGACAATAAGAAAACAGTATGAAAAATCGATTATGGTAACTGAAGATTATACATTCAGTCTTCCAATTGCCAATGGTTATTTAATGGGCTAATTCATGAACAACGATATTCTACCAAAGCGAGATTGTATAAATAGCAAATGGATCTTGCTGCCATGCAACCCAGATCCATTCCCTCTGGTTTTTGACTAGGATTCATTTAATTTTGTTTCAATTTTTTTCATATTTTACATATTATATCTGCGTCGAATTTCATGACGATTGATTTTGTATCACAAAATTTTCCTAATTTTGCATATTTTTTTCAAATTTTCACATAAAAACTTATTTTATATTATTTTCTACTTTTCATACAAAACAAAGTCAGAAATTATATCTTATCATTAATAATTAGGATTGATAAATGATAACATACTTATTATTAAGATATTAATTTCTAATTTTTATTAATAATATTATATTATAATTGTGCATACTAGATTATACTTTTTGCAAACTAATTCGATGTTTATGTCGTACCGTATATGCCATAAATATATTAAATGTTCTAATCTTTAAAAAAGTCATCTTTAACATTCAATTATTTCTTTCACAATGGTGATTATGGTGATTACTATTTTTCAATTTTTGTTTTTCGAAGATTTGTTTTTACACAAAATAAAATCAAATCAGTACATTTTTATTAAAATTGAAACTGAGACATCTAAAGTTAATAAGTTTTTTATTTCGAATTTTTCAACTTATTGATATAAGAATTGATAATTGTTTCAAATTGACATGTCCAATGTCATTGGATAATTCATAATTTGTGCAGACATTTTTAACAAGCAAATAATAATAAATTTTTTTGTATAATATCAAAATGTTCATTCACAAGTAAAAAAGATTGTAAATATTGAAATATTTTTTATTTTTATAATAAAAGATGTATACATTTCAAACATTAACGTAAAATTTAACGTTATTTAAAATTAATAATTTATTTTTTTAGCAACATAAATTTTGCTGCCATTCAATTAAAACAATATAATAAAGTATTTTTTCAATAATTACTTTCTGAATTATAAGACTAGAATTTGACATACAATTTGATATAAAATACAAAATATCTCGTAAACTATTTATTTTTGGCAACTATGTCTTAATCCTTTTTTTTTGCAGAATAATGAGATAAATCAATTGATGTAAAAAAAAAATATATAGTTGTTTTTCAAAAAGAAGAATCGTTGTATTGCAAATCTCTACTTTTTTGAACAATTATGTATTTTCTTTACACTAATTGATTCATCTCATTATTCTGTGCATACAAATATTAAGATAGTGTGCTAAAAACTCTCGAGATAAACTATAAGAATATACAATAAAAAAATAGGGATTTTTATTTAAGAAATTGTAAGTAATCTTCATGTGACTTTCAAATAATTATTCCATTATTATCCAAGCTCAAACCAATTCTTCAATCTTCGAGTTCTTCTCAAAGACATAAAACTTTTGTTTGAAACATTTTTTCTCTAAAATGAACTGTTCAAGAGATACTTGAGGTTGTCATTTGGAGCAAAATGGGGCATCCTGTATATATGTAATAAGTTATACACGATTATATATAGATATAGATATATTATATATAGGTAAGTTATTATATATAGATATTTTAATTTGTAATTACATAAAGTCATATATAATTATATATAGAAAAAATATATATATGTTTATATTATATATAGTAAATATATATATATATATATATTTACTATTACCCAGGCAAACATATATAAATATATAAATATAAATATATATATATTTATATTTATATATTTATATATATTTATCTGGGTATTTTTTCTTTCTATTTGCTTCCTTTCCTTTCCTTTTACAATAAATATTATGGATAGATATATAATATCTATCCATAATATTTATTATAGAAATGAATTAGTATTATAGAATATTTATTGTAATATTCTTATAATCTTTTAACAACTTGTAATTCCATAAACATTTTAAATAAAATGTTAATAATATACCGGTAATATATTAACAAATTGAAAAGATTATATTAACTGTAAATTATATTAAACTTGTTCTCTCAACCAAATTTACTGACATTATTTGATAGCAGTTTGCCAATAAAAATTATTATATACTTCAACAGCCAAGTAGAAATATACAGAAATATATTTTAAATAGAATGTGCTACCAATTTCTGATGACAAAAAGACAGTAAATTTTTCAAACAGAGTATGTAATATTTAAGAATGTCGCAAACTATAATCAGAAATATGACAAAGCTCGTAAACATTTTATAAAACCAAATTATATACAAAACTTGCTAACATGAACTATTGACAGATTGATGGTAGAAAAACAAACATATCCAATGCAGCATTTTAATGTCAGAAATCAAGTAGGATCTGTGTAACAATTTGATAACAGATTAATGGTAGAAACCAAGCAAACTTTGCACAATCACTAAACACAATTGCTAAACATAATTACAAGACTACTGTTAGCTTGAGTTTGTTTCTTGTATGTAAAATTTGGCACTCTATATCGAAATTGTTATAACTAAAATTCAAATATATCACTATTATTTATATATCTTTTATATATGCACTTAGTGCAAAATATAATTGTTTCTTTGTAATAAAGAAATTTGAGTATAATATCTGGAAAATAATCATTGCTACATATAAAAATCAACGATAGTATACATCTTTAAAAAAATATCATACCTTACTTGTGTTGTATAGAATATATTAATTTTTCTATCAATAAAAGAATTAACAATTATTCTTTTAAAATAAAATCTGGAAAAGAGAATAATAGAAATTATTTTTCAAGACTAATATGTTATAATTTAAATGATTATAAAACAACAAAGCCTACTAGATTTCTACTATCAGTCTCCTGGCAGGTCATGTTAGTAGATTCTGCTCTATTTTTACTGCTAATCTGTTGCTTGAATATGTTTTGTAGGTCGTGCCAATAAAATCTAAGTTAAATACAAATGCATTTGATGTCAATCTGTTGACATGTTTAATTAAATCTGCTGATAGTTTGCAAACTATCTGTTAATATTTTACTTACTGGGTAATGATATTGTCATTGCTATTTATCATAGATGCTTTTTTTAGTGTCAGATTATCAGTCATTATAAAAATTGTTATATTTTTCTTAATTAACAAAATTTGTAGTTGATATTTTTTAAAACATATTTTCCATAAATTTGGCTCTATAAGATAATTTAATGGAACAAAGAATTTACAGACAATATTAATCAGTTAAAATTAATATTTTAATTAACAATTTTTAAAACACTTTTTCTTACGATCAAAATCGATATCATGTCAGCTTTTTCAAATAAATGTATATCAATTTTTTCTTAATCATTTTGCATACAGAAGTATTAAAATAAGATTATTAAAAAATACAATTTATGAGATATTTTTTATTCAAGAATATATCGACATAAAATATGAAATATTCTATAATTTGTAATTTGTCTAGTTTATATGCATAAAATTAATTGCACAATATTATCATTGCTTGAATGCATTATAAATTAAGGTTACAAAATAGAAATATTGCTCATAGAATTTTAGTAAAATTGACGTTATGTAGATTTATTTAAAAATTTCTGTTAAATTTTGATTGTATTTACCTTCTGTATATTTTACACGATTTATATATTTTACATATATAATCTAATAGTTAAAAGTTATCACTAAAAGATCATATGACTTGAAGTTTTGTACTATATTCTTATGTCTTAGTTAGGCTGCGTTCGGAAACTTCACCCGGATGCACCTACCAAAGCTCACGCTGTTCGGAAATGTTTGGGTTGTACCAATGACAGAGATAAAGCCGTTCTGTTAGAGTACACCTCAAGAAAAAAATTTTCCACTCTGAAATTTCAGGGTGGATGGACGCGGGTAATTCTTTGTATTTAGCGGCATTCTTTAAACTGTAACAATGGCGCATATAAACTTATTAAAAGAACGATATAAATTATGTACTAACGAAAAAAATGAGCCAATATATGATCCTTAAGGATATTTAATAGTATTCGACATAATAGATAAGTGGTAAATTTGTAATTTACTTATACCTTTATAAAATAAAATAAAATATTGCATACATATTTTTTCAGTTAAAAATATGTTTTTTTATAGATAAAAACTTAATATCAGTATCTGTTTCGGAAGAATCTTTGGCGTTCTTTCAACTACAACAAATAACTTTAAACGATATGAATTATAAGCTCGAAAATTTTGATAACCTCGAATCTAATAAAGCATCTACGAGTACTCAATCATTAACACAACATAGTATGAATTTTCATCTCATCATATTTTTTGATAATGTACTCATAATAATATTATAATTATTAAATATATTATCGATCATCAAACTATATTTGTTTTTTTTTTCAATATTACAGCATCTTGGAAGGATAATAATGTTGCGAAACGATTAATTTATGCTTTGAAAGAATGAAAGTGATTTTAGAAATGGAAAATGCAAGTCCTCAGAAATATAAAAAAAATTTCCACCGTTCTTCAAACTGAAAATAGTCAGTAGATATAAACTGGTACACAATGCGAAAACAAATTTAAAGAATTGCGAAAAAAATATATAAAAGTAAAAGATCATAATAAGCAATCAGGCAATAGCCCAATGACGTAAGTTTTTCGATGAATTTGAAGAAATATTGGGAGATAAATCTTGTATCCAACTTGTTGTGTTGTCCTAGTTTCTAATTTAAGAAAGCGATCAGCAACATCTAGTTCTCAAGAAAGTGAGATAGAAAATGAATTTGGTAAAGATGAATATGATAAAACGAAAAAAATAAAAAAAACCAGAGTTCAAAAGAAATTAGGTGAATGATCTGCTGCTTTAGAGAAGATGCTAGAAGAAAGTGAAGAAAGAACAAGGGAACAACGACACAAAGAGGTAGCAGAATTTGATCGAGCAGTTGCTGTATATAAAGAAATGATGGCAAAATTCATCGATAAATTATAAAAATTAATATATTACATTCTATTTATATTCTTATTAAGATAAACTATAAGGATATACATATTCTTTTCTCTGTATTTTGTTATTGTATTATGTCTTTTGTTTTTTATTTTTGTGTTTTGTATTGTCTTATCTTTTTACATTTCTATTATTTTTTGTTTTTCTTTTTTTTTAGAAATACGAAATTTGATATCTAAGACATTGCCAAAGAGTTAAAAATATTTGTTTATTTCAATATTTTTTTGCCGATACTTAAAAAAGAAAACTATATATAATTTTATATGAATTTCATTCAATACTATATATTTGTTAAATCTATAATTCTAGTTTATAAAACGGAAAATGTTACTTTGTTCTATAATAAAATAGGTTTAAGGAAAGGATTTTGTATTATATTATTATAAGTATATATCTATAAATATATATCTATAGTTTTAGTAGTTATAGTCAAATATTCCCTCCATTCGAATATTATTAGAAATGATGAAATAATAAAAACTGTATTTTAACAAAATGATATAACTATATTGAATTACATATAATTTAAAAACTTAACAGTTAGGAATTCAAAGAGATTTAAAAATTACTATTAATAGAAATTCTATCAAGCAATCATATTCTAAAATCGTTATATCAGCATTGATTAATTTTTACATCAGTTTCGTATTATATATTAAGGAATTTGCAACTCTAGTCATTTTAATTATATGAGTTTGTTTCTTTTTTATAATAAAATAGAATATAATTCATAGATACTATTAAACTATATTTAAATATTATAATTCAAACTATTAATGCTGCTAAATAATTGCGTTTTGCTAGACCCTAAGCGTCATTATAAATTTCTTCCTCAAGTCTATTAGTTGGGTCTCGACCATAATTTCCTTCATTTATTTCATCATATTGCCTTCCCTCTTCAATAAAATCCTCCACTCTATATTCCTTAAGACAGAGATTATGTAACACACAACAAGCTAATATCACATAAGGAATCAAATCTGCCATTCATATGCAGATATTTAAGTTTCTTCGAAATCTTCCCTTTAACAAAGAAAATGCTCTCTCTATTATCTCATTCTTATCTCATTCTCTTATCTCATTCTTGATAATTCCTTAATAAAGTTGATTTGAATCTATATATAAAAAGTATAAGAAAATAATAATTCAATATAGATATGAAAGACAAAATAAAAAAAATAATAAAGTAAATTAACTTGTCTCAAAAAATTTCTTTGTTTATATAGGAATGCACCGAGATAATACCGGATAAGCTTTATCAGCAATAATATATTCATTTTCTGAAAAGAACTTTGTATGATTCTCTTGTATAGACATCCACAAATCTAAATTTCTAAATATTCTGGAATCATTCACAGAACCTGCGAATCCCACAAAATCTGTGAACACCAGATCTGCATCACAAACAGATTGTAAAGTAAGTGCATATTCGCATTTCCTAGTTCTATGATTCAGCATGAAGCTAGATAGATAAGAACATAAAAATAAGATAAATTATTGTAATTATTGTAAAACAACAAAAACATAATTAAAACAGTATAAAAATAAAATAGTATTACATGTGGAGCAGGATCATAGGTATGTGCGAACCATCAATAGCTCCTATGACATCTGGAAGGACACCAATTCCACTAAATCTATTCTTCACAGAATGTAATTTATTTCTTTGTGGTCACACAATAACACTATCTGCTATATCATTCAAAACATACACAATTCTACGAAAAGAATTATGTAAATTAGATTTTCCCATGTTGAAATGATCTGCAACAGATCTATAACACTAATTATTGCGCAAATTATTAATAAAAAATCTAATGCTTACAGATATTTATAGAAATATTTACCGAAAAGAATCTGGAGTTGCCAGAAGCCAAATGACTGACAAGAGTTGATTTCTAACTGGAATCATCGGTCTTCCTTTCTTTTTTATTGTCAATGCCGGAGTTAATTGTCGCTCAAGATTTTCATAAGTTCTTTTGGTCATATGAAAATGTTGACGAAACACTTCATCACTAAATCTTGGTACAATTTCGTTGATATATAATTGTTCTCTAATCTTGCAGCATCTTTGATTATCAAATCTTATCTGAGCTTCAATGAAATTGTCTGTTCAATTATTTTGTCCACTTCGTCATCTAATTTCTGGATATAAGCTATCCAAGATTATTCTTATTAATTCCTGTCTAGCATTCACGGCACAGGTTACAATAATATTTGCCCGGGATTGCTGTTCGACCGCTATCTTTTATATCTATTTGTCGTTCAGAAACTATTCGCATCCGGGGAGTTCCCTCATCACTACTCACCTGGTTGCACTCTCAGGGTAACGTTTCCGAATGCAGCATACAAGTGCTTTTCAAGGAAACACAAATAAACATAGTAATCTAGTTTCCAACAAAATCAATTCGTTCCTTTATGCAAAATGATGTAAAATACATATATACATTATCTAAATATTTTTCGTGTAACATATACAATTAATTAAACTTTTTAATTCAATCTATAACAATAACTATTAGGTGTACAAAAAAGTTCTGAGCTTTTTTTTGTAAAATTCAATTTTTATTCAAAAACAAACAAAAAAATATTAATTAGCGAAATATTCCCCGTTTGCATCAACGACCTTTTGCCATCCTTCGGATAGCTTGCGAATTCCTTGACGATAGAAGCTCACGGCTTCGAAGCGATAAAGTCATCAATGCATTTTCGTATCTCTTCAAATCTCACGAAATGTGTATCAGCCAAATCATGCTGCAACGACCGGAATAGGTAGTAATCGGAAGGCGCCATGTTTGGGCTATACGCCGTGTGCGGGAGAAATTCCCAGCCTAACGAAAAGATATGAACCTGAGTTGCTTTCGCAACATGTGGTCGAGCATTGTCATGAAGCAAGATCACTTTACGACGTCCTTGGCCAGTAAATGGCTTCTTTTCTTCTAATGCATCGCTCAAATTGGTCAATTGTTGTTGGTAGCGGTCTGCCGTGATTGTTTCACCCGGTTGTAACAACTCGTAATACAACACACCTTTCCATCCAATCCCACCAGATACAGAGCAAAACCTTCTTGGCATGGATATTGGGCTTTAGCATTGATGTTGAAGGTTGACTAGGGTCAACCCATTTTCTACGTTTAGGGTTATCATAAAGAATCCACTTTTCATCGCCTGTAATGATTTTGTGCAGAAAATCTTTTTTACGAAACTTTGAAAGCAAAGTGAGTGCAGTGTCACACCGACAATTTTTATTGTCTTCGGACAATTCATGCGGAACCCATCTGCCTTTCTTCTGAATCTTATGTAAATCGTATCCATCGTATGTAAACGTACGGTTTGCTGCGTAACGCCAAGCTGTTCTGCAAGCTCCTTTTCAGTTTGCGCAGAGTTTATATCAGCAGTTGCTTGCAATTCGTCCGTTTCAATCTTTTGAGGGCGTCCAGCACGCGGTTCATCTTCAAGACTGAAATCTCCTTGGCGAAATTTTTGATACCATTTTTTACATGTAGTATGACTTACAGCGTTCTCTCCATATGCAGCAAAAATCATTGCAGTGACTTCAGCAACATTTTTCTTCAGATGAAACGCGAAGTGGATGGAAAATCGAATATGCTCTTTTGTTATTGTCATCGTGAACACTACTGATTTTTGAGTGCATCAAACGCCAAACCGTATAGCATTTTAGAAGGCCAAATGTCAACGCTTTAAAACCGCAAAAGGGCGGGAATATATAAAATTTAAATTGTGTTATTTCGGTTGTATGAAATCTAAGCTCAAAAAAAAAACTTTTTTGTAACACCTAATAGTTACATCTACTTTCTGTATCTTATTTAAATGTATACTAAAAAACACATGATTGTATTCTTTCTTTTAGATTCTTACCAATCGTATGCAATCGACTCCGCGAGCAGTCTAGTAGCTTCGTCTAGTAGTCGTTTTTCGACAGAACATATAACTAGAAAAAAAATGAAAGCTCTGTATATAAGATGGAACAATAAAAGATGAGATTGCCTATTTCGTGGTGAAGTGACGAACTAAAAGTAAATTGTAGGGTTTTCGTCTCATATATACATGTAATCTTTTCAATATCGAAATTTAAAATACCATAGATATTAAATGTAATTAGATGATTAAATAGATATGTAAAATTAATGAAAAATAAACACTATATACAAAATAGACGTATTTATTACAAAATAAACTGCTAAATAAATTTATTACAAATAAACAAATACAATATATTTGCACTAATATTTACATGTATCTATAAATAGAGACATCATGCTTTGTATACTTATCACAATATATGCATCACAATAATATTACAAAAATAATCTTAGATACTGTATGTTATATTATATGTTAGTATGTTACTTGTTTATATAGTTGAGCCTCTCATATATATTGGATGTTCCATGTAATTCTATATATGTAAGTGATGTCCATCCAATGTATCCAGTAATGGTTTGAAAAATACATTCTGGAAAAATAAAATATAAAAAATTGTAACACAAGATTCGTCGATTAAAATATATAATATAAATTTATAAATTTATTTACTTTTTGCTTATGTTTGCAAACATACGTTCCATATCCAATAATTTAGTTTTTTAGTTATTGTTGGATTAGCAAAATAATCTGAAACAAAATTTATATTAATATAACTTTTTTTTCTTTAAACTCTATTTAAAAAAAGTAATTTCTTTCGTCTCGACGATTAAAAAGTAAAAAATGCAAATTTATGTTGAGATTATATTGCCACAAAGACTTGAAAATTTAAATACAAATTGATAGTAATATTAATATACAATAAAT